GGATGTTGGGAGCTGCTGATCATCAGCTCCTGGGTAGAGGCCAGGGATCTGATACATTGCTTAAGAAACACTGAAGAGCCTCCTCAGGTTAGAAATTTGTGTCAGAAATTTCTCTTAATGACACCTTAACTCTGACATGATAATACATACAGCTAATATAATAAATATTGTGACAAATAGTGTGCTCTGTCATTTTCTGTTGCTGTAACAAAACACTTAATGGTTAGAACTTTACCAGGAGATTAAATTTATTTTGATGATAGTTTCTTTTTTAGGTTGAAAATCCAAGATCAGGTAGTTTCATCATTTTAGCTTCTACCGTGGACCTGCTTAGCTGTTTTACAACATGCTGAAGAGCTGTAAAGGGAACAAGCTCTGTGTAGAGAGATCGCAAATGTGCTTTGACCCGCATTAAAAGTAACACAAAATTATGGGAGTAAGCCCAGGATTAGCACTAATCCCTTTTGTGGCATTTTTCCTCGATCCAATTCCTCTTCCCTCCTTTCCTTGCCATCTGGCAGAGGTTCACTCACCTTTCAACATTACCACACAGTGGGCCAAGTTTTACCTAGCACATACAATTTTGAAAGGATTTTTACACTAACTTCTACTGCAAGATAATGCTGTTTTAAGTATGACACATAGAAGAATTATACTATACATTTTCTACTAAAGAATGTAAATTTTTAATTCATTTAAAAATTTTTGTTGTTGCTTTGAGACAAGGTTTCCTTATTATGTAGCTTTTGCTGTCCTAGACTTGCTATGTAGACCCATCTGACCTTGAAATTTGCTATGTAAACTAGGCTGACCTGCAACTCACATATCTACTTGTCTCTGCCCCCCAAGTCTGGGATTAAAGGTGTGTGCCAACATTGCCAGCAAAGTTTCTATTTTTATAACCTAAATCATAAGTAAAACACATCCACCCAATGACTTCACTGTGCATAATTGCATCCAGTAATAAAAAAAAGCATTTTTGTAGACATGTACAATCCTTGCACATTACTTTGCACAGATTAACTGTTAATTACCTCAGACAGCCGTCAACAATGGTAATATTTTATTTCATCCAGTTAAATGCAGTCTCTGGAAGATGAATTTCTAATTTTGAAATTGGTACCTGCACAGGTGTAGGTATGTATGCCAAAGGATGTGTGATGAGTTACTCTGTATAATTGAATCTCCAGTTATGGAATGCTAGGTACATGCCCACTAATAGCTATTTAATTGGTAAGCTTTGTTTCCACTACACTTTAATGAAAAAAAGAGATGTATTTACTTGACTTTACATGTAAGTGTTTTGCCTGAATAAATGTATGTGTGTTATGTATGTCTACCACATGCATGTCTGGGGCCTGAGGAGGTCAGAAGAGGTCCTAGATGAAAAGCCACATTCATTTTTATCCCATCTCTCTTGCATTTTGAAAGATCATAGAGAATGTGCGATGGCCATGTAAAAACTTTAGATACAATTTCTCAAAGACAAGCATTACCTGGGGTAAGCCTTTGCCTCTTCCCCTACTTTTTTTTTTTTTTTTTTTTAGGATGACTGTACAATGGAGTAAAATGCAGCCTGTTTTAAAATCTGCCCACAAAGATATATTTTACAAAACATTACTGTGTTCCAGCAATATATACCACAGGGGTTTTAATGGGAAACAAAAACAAAGTTCAGAGACTCTAGCCAGGGAAACAGGCTAACTGTGGATCATCACTTCTCCCTCCTCTCTTCCAAATCCAATCCCCTGGTCTTAGCTCAGGCATTGTAGCAGACCAACTGCTGTGACCTTCCCTTCCTCTCTGCCCCCACCTCTAGTGGATTAAACAGATCTTCCTCTCCAACCTTCTTTCCTGCTTCTAATCACATTATTCCAGCCTCCAAACACCAGCATGCATTCCCTAGGAACCCTTCAGTGAAGCCTGCCAGAGAAGCAAGTAGGCTAGGGAAGCAGGCAGGCTTACTGAAGATCTTCACTCTTCTCTCCAAATCCAATGCCCTAGTCTCAGCCCAGCTCTATAGCAGACTACCTGCTGTGGCCTCTCTTCACTCTCTGCCCCATTTCCCAGGGGACAAATTAGATCCTGGTGGAACACCTGCTTTTCCCCATCCTAAGAACTCCCTTAACTCTCCTACACCAGCACACCCATCACTACTTGTCAGCTCCCAGTACTTAAAAACACATTTTGCCCAGAATATTTGCTCAAATCACAGATTGATATCATTAAGTTTGAAATTACAAAAGGAAAAGAAAGAATATAAGCACACCACAAATTATTTAAAAACAGTGAAATATTGTAGCAAAAATTCCTCTTTAATTTTTTAAGAAAAGTTTTCACTCTGTATTCTAGGCAGACCTTAAACTAAAACTCCTCCTGCTTCAGCAACTCATCCTCTGGGACTCTATGGATTAAAGGTGTGAGCTACCACACCCAGCTAAGCAGAAACTCAGGAAACTTTGTTGTGGAGATTTGTTTTTGGATACTGGTCATAGAGTTAATTCAATCTTCCATCCATTTAGAATACTGGTATTTACAGGAGCTCACCTACAGCAAGCATCAGGAAAAGCAACATGGGAGGTAGTGGGCGTGGTCTTTAGAGTATATAAGGACACTCCAGGGGCCAGCCAGGTTCATTCTTCTCTAGACCAGACAGAGTGAGTCTCCATATCTTCTGACTCCTAGACTGCTAGATCTATCCACTCCACACATTGGGGATCATACCCCAGAGCTGAACTAATATTGCTGTGTCTCCTCAAAACACTGCTGAGACTGGAGACTATTTCTTGGGTGAGTGAACAATTTAAGATTGAAAGTCAGTGTTTTCTATTTTAATTTATTACAAAACTGAGGTTTCTGCTTAAAAATGCTTGAAATTTGTCTATCAAAAGAGATTCTGCTCCCATTTGGTCACCTTGCTTCGTAAAAATACTGTGAGTTACAGCTATAGATGATTGTAGTTTATCCATTCACAGTGTTTCTTTGCTCTGATGTTCCACCTTTCAATTTTGTTCTTTCTCTAAATTTTAGGAATATTTATAGAGTATTTCTGTATGTAGTTCATAGATGTGAGATTAATACCTCTAAATCAATTTTACATGTATAATATATAAAATAATTGCTCTGAAGAGATTGATGATTACTAGCATTTAGAGGTATATTCTATGAGTATGATTTATTAAAGTGAAAACTCATTATTTAGCAAAGGAAAATATTTTAGTATTTTTTGTTGTAAACTATAGGAAAACATTACAGTGTGAAATAATGCTTGATAATAGTTTACCATCTTTTAAAAACTGGCTCTTCCTGCTATTGGTTGATTTGCTAGGTTGGAAGTATACATGTGATGAATTTAGAGAAAACTAAACACAATATTCTATTCAGAAAAGTACATCCTGGTTATAATCTGGTGCAATTTTTAAATTCTGCATTCAGTTTTCATTATTTCTGTGAATTCATAAATTATTTTGGAATGAAGTATCAGAAGCTCATTTTTTAGTAAAAGTGGGGACCTGTATGGCCCTGGCTCCAGTTTTGGTTAACTGTTGCCTTGCTTGCTGACCTTGACCTTGATATCCTCCCTAAGCTAATTCCCTGCTGGGTTCCACCCTCCTGAATGCTTAAGGGAAGTTCCTTGTCTGTATATCCTGCATATAGGGCATTAACAGCTTACTTGCAAGATTGTAAAACATCAGTAGCACCTTCTGCCCTCCAGGATTCCCCCATTGTTGCTGTAAGCCTGTATTTAAGACCTCTTTCCTCCTTCAATAAACAGCATTAGGCATTCAAAAAAAAAATGAAGTATCTAATATACAGAAATAAAATACCAAATGGGGGTGATTACGTAAGTTAAGGAAGGGAGCATTGGAGTCTCCATCTCTTTTCTAAAATAATCTTGACAATGAGTATTAGTATTATTTTCAAGGTAAATAGTACTACCAGCTAAAGCCATGGACTCAATTTGCATCAGATCTCACAAGCTGAAGTTATTTGGGGGATGTTTATCTCAGTCAATCCAAGATTCTTTATTTGTGTAGATGTTCAAAGAGAAGGAACAATGGGTACCTATTGATTAAATCGGAAATTCTGCTATAGTCATGAGAGCCTCGTTTTTGCATCAAGGTTCATCCAATAAACTGAAGCCACGAACTGTATCTTTGATAAACAAACAAGTTTCCACAGAGAGTACCCTAGATTTCAACTTGATGGGATTTAGTATAGATATGGTAACCTCTGGGGATGTCTGTGAAGGATTATTGGGGGGTAGATTCACTACAGTTGGTAAGATCGACACTAAATGTTCATGAGATCACTTGACCATTCCATGGTTTGAGGTCTCAAAGTAAGGAAAAGGGAACAGGAGCTGAGCAGCAAGAGTTCCTTGTTTTGTTCTTGCTGATTTTGGATGCAATGTGACCAGCTCCCTCAAGCTACTGCCACCATTTCTTCCCCACAATGATGGACATAACCTTGAACTATGAGCCTCCCTAATTCTTACTCTTGTTAACTATTTGCATCAGAAAGAAGTCAAGTAACTAATGTTGCCTTCAAGTGTCAGAGGGGTAGGACAGGAGGATGTGAAGGACTAAGATGCTAAAATCAGAAATGAAGCAAAGCATTTACTAGGGACCATGTGAAATAGGGAGTGTTTTCTTGGATAGCCAACAAAGAAGGGTGTGTTTAACCTACCTATGTCTGTAGTGAAAGGCAAACATGTGGACTTGAAGGAGTTTGATCACTCTAGTGTATATTTATTTATAAACCCTTGGAAAGCATGTCTCAGACCAGCAACCAAGACACTAATTTGAATGAGGTCTCCAAAAAATGCAGGTGGAATGGCTCAGAAAGACATCAGATTAATCTATATTTCTGTCAAGAAGAGTGAAACAGGAAGGATCAGCAACTGCAATCCTATACCTATGTTGATTTTTTGTTCCTGAAAATTGAAGCCTGCTTTGTCATACACAGAATTAAATCACAACTTGCATCAGTTTTTGTGCTGCTTCTAGCTTCTCTGGAGTCGAATAATAGTAATTCTGCTTTTCTTCCTTCAGAAAAATGGAGTCAGACATTTCACAAGCCTTCCAGAAAGAACTCACCTGTTTCATCTGCCTGAGCTGCCTGACAGATCCAATCACCATAAGCTGTGGTCACAGCTTCTGTCGAGCCTGCCTCCACCTTTCCTGGGAAGACATCCAACCACCTGTCCAATGCCCTATTTGTAGGGAACAATATCAGAAGGAATTGAGAACCAACATTGTTTTGAAGAAGCTGGTGTCCAAGCCAGCCTCATGAAGGACCTAACCTCTGAGGAGCAAAAGTGTGTGACCCACGAGGATACTAAGAGGATCTTCTGTGCTGAGAATAGGCTCTTCCTCTGTGAACTCTGCTCTAACTCCCATGAGTACAGAGGACACAGACACTGTCCCATTGAAGCAGCTGCTGAGGATCAAATGGTAAGTGATGCTTCTGAGAGAACTTGCAAGCTGGAGAGAGGTAGGCTTAGCAAACCACAGGAAGATGCTGGTCCTCATTAGTAACAAGCCACTGTTTTCAGAATGGTGTAACTTTAATAACAGCTAATGAAGAAAGGGTGATTAGGACTGTAAACATCGGTCCTTTGGGGGACCGATGAGTGTAAAGATCATTTGTATTTTATGATACATTATGCCCAGGTCACTGGAAACTGCAATACTAACTTCCTATCTTTTAAAAGTGTCTATGACTGGAGACTAAATTAGGAAAAGTACATTAGAGTCAGGTACAGTCAAGCATGTATTCAAAATTATTAATCATTATACCTGAGCAAATGGGCAAGTTGCATTTTCCAATTCTATGTTCTAATCTAAAATTCATAGTTATGAAAAGAAAAAAATGAAGGATAATTTTGATTCTGGTACTCTCACTACAATAATTGTATTAATTGCCCAAGAGTTTGTCTATCAGTTATATTTTCCAAAATTGATATTCATTGTTTTTTTTACAGGATAGACTTTTGAAGCAAATGGCATCTTTATGGGAGAAGGTCCAAGAAAATCAAGAGAATTTAGAGGCAGAGAACAGAATGAAAACTCTTTGGACTGTGAGTATGAGAACCATGCTTAAAATCTCTTGATGCAGATATTTTCAAAATTTGCCATTCATGATTTGAATATAAGGCCTAGGATAGGGTACTTGGAATATGTGTCCTACTCACCTTTAAATCTGAGTTTATAATATGTCCCTGTTCTTGGAAAAAATGGTCTGCCTCTTGCAGAAGAGTCTGGGACCAATGAGTGAATGCTGACAGTTCTGCACACTGCATTAGACTTTATGACTACACCATGAATTCTAATTACTACATGCAGAGTTTCATGACTTTGTGAACATATGAATGATCATTCGTTTTTTCGGGCACCTCTGCACCTCTAATATAGGTGTAAATGCATCTTAGGGTTGGATTGCCTATGTAATCAATAAAGAAGAAATAAATGGAACCAAGGCATTTACATTTTCTGAGGTGTGAAGACAGTCAATCAGAGTATATGCATCAGAGTTATACAAGTCATTTGTGGAATTTAAGCATAGGAGGATGGAATGAAGGAGGACAAAATACTTTGCAAATATGATTGGGAATGTCTTTTTTTCTTCAGGACTACTTGACTTTTTGGGAAGAAATGATCAGGACAGAGTATAGAAAGCTACATCCACTCCTCTGCGAAGAGGAAGAGAAACACATTGAGTCTATGAGAAATGAAGGCCAATGTGTTTTAGAGAAACTCAGGACAAGTGAAGCCATGATGATGCAAAAGAGTAAAGAACTAAGAGAAATGTATCAGGAGCTGATGGCAATGTTCCAGGAGCCATATGTGGTCCTGCTGCAGGTGAGCATGGAGGAGTGCAGGAAGAGGCTTTATTGACTTAGGCCCACAGTGGTGATTGTTTTACTAAGATAGCTTTCAATATTCCCTACACTTTTCATGAGAGTTTCCTTTTCAGAAATTTTCTGGAGAAACAAAATTCTGTAATAATCTTGAAAGAACCAGCTTTTTGAAATTATGTCCGTAGATTCTCCAGGGATTATGTCCTAACTTTTGTCTTTTGTGCCTTGCTTCTCCAAAAACTGAAATTCAATGGTTTAGGTTTCCAATATTTTTTACCTGTACTTGTATATTGTGCATATTTAATGTAACCCATGGCTTAATTTCTTTTGTTTGAGTTTTGTGTTTTTGGGAGTCTTTTAGGAGTTTGGCATTTTGAGATAGGATCCTATTTGGTAGTACATAATACCTTGCAATTCACAGTAATTCTCAGGCCTCTAACCCTGCAATTCTGAAATACACATGTGAAGCACCATGCAGGAGTGAGGCCACCCTTTTGAAGTATCCTTCGCTAAAGTATCCCTATGGCTTGTAGAGAAGCTCAGGGAATGCTACCTTTGCAGACAGGGGGGCGATCAAAAGCAATGTACAGTCGATACCCATGTCCTTCTCAAATTTGACTCTCCAGTCTGATTTCATCAAGAATTGAAGGTCTGCTAATTTATTTGGTTGACATTATCTTAAAACATGAATATAATTTCCCAGGATAGATTGGTGTGATGTTGACTGACATTTATATGAACTTTAGAAACAAACATTTTATTTCAATTCTTCAGATATCTTACCTTTTTTTGTTTTCTTTGCAGCGTTTGGAGGACATGTTCAGAAGGTGAGTTTAACCATCAGTGCAAGTCAGGATACCCTGAAATATGCT